CTGCTCCTGCGCCTTTAAGACTTCCTTCTTGAAGAACATCCAGCCTTCCTGGACCCTTTTGCCCTTCAGGATGGTCTCCCAAGGGACTCTCTCAACCAGCATCCTGAACAGGTCAAAGTCCACCCTCTGGAAGTCCATGGTTGCGGTTTTGCTGCCCCCCTCCTTACTTCACCAAGAATTGAGAATTCTACCATTTCATGGTCGCTAAGCCCAAGACGGCCTCCGACCACCACCTCTCCCACCAGTCCTTCTCTGTTTGTAAACAGCAGGTCAAGCGAGGCACCTCCCCTGGTTGGCTTGCTTACCAGCTGTGTCATGAAGTTGTCTTCCACACACTCCAGGAACCTCCTAGACTGCTTCCTCTCTGCCATGTTGTATTTCCAGCAGATATCCGGGAAGTTGAAGTACCCCACGAGAACAAGGGCTAGTGATTGAGAGACTTCTGCCAGCTGCTTGTAGAACGCTTCATCCGCCTCTTCATCCTGGTGGGGTGGTCTGTAACAGACTCCCAGCAGGATATCTGCCTCATTGGCCTTCCCCCTCATCCTTACCCATAAACACTCAACCGTATCATCATCACAATCATCACATCATCACAATCGTTGAGCTCTATACAATCAAAACACTCCCTAAATTTAGCAGAGACTATTTCAGCGAGTTACCACGGGAGGAACATGCCCTTCCAGTTCCTTGAGGTTTACATAAGACACAAGTTTAAAGACGAAAGCAGGATCTTTTAAAAAAGTAAAGGGTTTTTTGATCACAAACTTGAAAATGGAATTGCGAAAGGAGAAAGACAAGACAATGCAAGTTTAGACTGAAACCTGACATTGAAGTTACTCCTTCGTTGTTTCAGTGTTTCGATTAATTTGGAGAAGTCTGGTATGCTCTGTTTCCCTCTCGCTCCATACATCCCTTCTGCTTCATGTTAGGAACTCTATCCTATTTCATATCTTCTCTGGCCCCAATTAAAATTCCTTTCTCACCTCATTCCTATCTTTTGTTCATGTCAAGTTGAGCCAATGCAGATATAGGGAGTACAGTTACTAAGAATACTTGTGGTAAGCACAAGATCTTAAAGACAATCACAACACTTCAAATTGTGCATCTCAAGAAATACTCTGTGTTGTGTCTGAGTAGATACGTGTGTGTGTGTCTATATACATTTATGTATACCACCAAGCTCACAATCTCTGCATTTAGCTTGGCATAGCGATCTTATCGCAAGTGACAAATCATCATTTAGCTCACCTTGTCTCAGAAACTTCCCTGATCTTCTCAAAGTTTGGGCATTGCAAAAGATCCACCGAGGCTGGCACAGTGACCTAGTCCTATTGCAGCCTCAGCCCTGAGCTCGTTGACTAGTGCCTCAGCTGGATAGGAAAATTAGGTTCAAAATTCTTCATTTCCAAAATCAGTACCAATGAGTTACCGATTTCTCTCAACACAAGACTCACATCT